AAAAAAAAAATAGGAAAAAAAAGGGAGGAAAAAGATTTTTAAAAAAGGAAAAAATGGGAAAAGGAAAAAAGAAAGAGGAAAAGGGAAAGGCAAAGAAAAAAAGAAAAAAAGGAGAAAAGGAAAAAGAAAGGAAAAGGGAAAAGGTGGGGAAAAAAAAGAAAAATCAGGTCCCCCCACATTCTGTATATGCTGCATGAGTGTCTAGGCTCCTCCTTCTGCAAACAGCAGTTATTCTCCTTGTGCTGGTAAGGCATGGACAAGAATTTACTCTCCCTGTTCTGAGCTTTATCAACAGCTTTTGTCCTGTCTGTGGTTTCCTCCTTCCAGAAGTCCCTAGGTGCTGGAGCCATATTTTTAAGTGGAAGCCTCAGGTAAGGTTTTATTGTCCTTCATGAAGTGCAGGGACAGACACTAAAGCTGTAAAAGGGTTCCGGGCCAGCAGGTATGTAGCCAGAACCTCCACATTCTGCTTTGTGCGGTGGAATCACACTGTTTGGGGCTGGCTAATACTTTTAAAGTGCTTTAAATTAGCTAGTACACAGGCAGCAGACCCAGAAAGTCAGCCTGAGGAGCAGCCTGTTGTGGCTTATGGAAGAATCTGCCTCAATCCCATGAGATTTTGGTCTGGTCCCTCACTTCAAACCTCCGGTTAAGCTCACATTTTTCGAACTTGCTCAGCTTGCACACCCCTCGGTGACTCTCGTAAAGGCCCAGCTTCTTTTTAGGGAGTTTGAGCCTGCTGCAAGCTCTGTGCTTTGCAAAGCCACTCTGTGAAGCCCCTTGGGCACCAGCAATGCCCCAGATCGCACTGGCAACACGGACACTGGCGCTGGTGGTGGTGGTGCAGCCGCTGCCTGTGCTGTCGTGGGTCCCTGGCTCACCCTGGGTCCCTGCCGTGGTCACCCTTACAGGGCAACAAGCGCTGCCTTGAACGGTGCCTGTCTCTCACTGCAATACACACACTGTGTCAGTTGTACACTGCAACAAGTGTACAGTTAACAGACCACACAAGCTTGGTCACACCTGAACTTGCAGCGCAAGAGGCAAAAGGGCAATTTACTTAAAAGTAAACTTAAGAGTACCTTAGAAAATATGATGCTGTGACAAATGAGCTCCTTCTCTCCCAGACAAGTAATGGAAACTCTTTTGCTTAGCTTTTCTTTTTTTTTTTCTTTTAAGGGACTGGCACTGATAGAGACCAACTATCAAAAAGTCTCCTTACTTTCTTGATTACGCTGGCTATGGGGCAAAAACATCCACCCGTCCTTTTCAAATGCTGGCAATCTGTAATTTTCGTCATTCAATCATTTTTATCATCACGTCATCTATCATGAGCTGGGTCACCAAGCAGCTCTACTGCATTAATATCCCTGTCATTAAACCTTCACATACACTTCCCTGATTCAAGTCTGAGCTAAAAATCCAGGACAACAAACATTCTCATGTCATTTTTCCCTTTCACTTTTCAGATTGTTTTTGCTTCTTTCCTGGTGACTGGAGGGTTTCTCCACCATTGTCCTGTTTTCAGCAATTTTGCCATGTTAAAATATGTTCTGTATTTCTTTTCTGCATCCTTGAGATCGTTCTTTCCTTTGTGTATAATTTTAACATTCCTTACTTTCTTTTTTACAGTTGTTCTGTTTATTTCTCCATTTTTTTCCCCCCAAAGTTCTGCATTTTAGAACTTGTTTCCTTCACCCAGATACTGCTGGATACCTTCTGTCTCGGTGTGTGTGTGTTTCACTGCATATTCTCCATGGCCGTTTTCCCCTGTGTTTCTACAGGGTGTTCCAGGTGTTGTTCTCACAGGTGTTCCTGTGTTTCAGGTGTTGTTCCCTTGTACCCGCAAGCCCCGATACAAACATGAAGACAGAAAGTTCTCCTAGGAAGCAGCTACCACCGGAACGAAAAACAGCCCTGCCGAACACATCTTGTTCAGAACACATCTTGTTCTGCAGATTGTTGTTTCCCCGCATGCGGATTTTTCCCCTGCGCTAGAGAGCACCAAGAAGGACACCACAGTAGGTGTTAGACACCCGAGCTCGTTCGGCTGTCGCAGCCGCTATCTCCCCGCCGCCGGCGGTTGTCAGAGCGTCACTCCAACCGTCACTCCAACCGTCACTCCAACCGTCAGTCCGCGCCCGCTCCGCCCGCCGCCGCCGCGCACTGCGCATGCGCCGCGCGGCCGCCGGTCGCCTCTATGGTTCCTCCCCCGGAAGCAGCGGGGCGGTGCGGGGCAGCGCGATGGCGGCGGAGCCCACAACGGCGGCGGCAGCCGCGGAGCCCGAGGAGGACAGCGGCGAGGCGGAGGGCGGCCTGGGGCAGCTGCTGGAGGAGGAGGAAGACGGCGACGATGGCGGCGGTTACGTGCTCTACAGGTACCGCCACCCCACCCCCCCCCACCTCAGCCCCCGGGCGGCCGTTACGGGCGGGGGCGGTGCCGCGCGTGACGTCACGCGGCGCGTGCGCGGAGGTGGCGGTGGCAGGTGGGGGCGGCGCGACATGGCGGCGCCGGGGGGCGGCGCGACATGGCGGCGCCCGGGAAGGGGCGGGAGGAGGGCGGCGGGGCGGCCTGGCCGCGGCGGCGCCTGGGCGCTCCCGTTGTGTGTGTGTGTGTGTGTGTGTGTGTGTTTTTGTAAAAGATCTGAGCACAAAGGTGGTGTGTTCACAGGGACAGGAAGGAGTGGGCGGATATTGAGCCCGTGCCGCAAAACGACGGACCAAATCCCGTGGTGCAGATCATCTACAGTGAGAAATGTAAGCGCTCCTGGGCCACGGCTGAGGAAGTTAACGTGTAAAACCGTTAGCACTGGTCATGTGCAAAACCCCGGCGGCTCCCAGGTGCTTTTCTCATACGTGGCATCGCTGAGAGCCATCCAGGTTAATACATATCCCAGGAGGGCTTCAGAGTGTGGCCCCTATGCCCAGCAGCTCCAGCGTCAACCTTTTACTTGGAAATTCATTAGCCAGGCTTTTATTTTAAACCCTTAAGCTTCAAGCACGCGCAGCAGGCAGCTCGTGTAGCAATGCAGCCACAGCCCGCGAGCAGGGACGCATTGAACTGCTGCGTGGGGACAGACAGCCAGACACCAGAGTGAGCAGCCAGGCTCTCCTGGACGCTCTTCCAAAGGCACATTTTAAAACACTTCTGCAGCTTTTCCGTTCATTAACGCTGTCATTATAGGCTTCAGTAATCACTGCTGCCTGAGCAGTGTGTATCACAGCCCTCAGGAAGGATTCCTGAAGTATATAAAGTGACTCCAAGGAGTTATTGACCTGAGCCCTCAACCAAGCTGCTTTCCCAGCCCCTGGGTAATGTGCTGTTCGTTCTCTGTTCAGTCCGAGATGTGTATGATTATTTCCGGGCTGTTCTGCAGCGGGATGAGAGAAGCGAAAGAGCTTTCAAGCTAACTGCAGATGCCATTGAGTTAAATGCTGCAAACTACACAGTTTGGTGAGTGGTGATCTTGGTGTTATTGCTGTAACCAGTACATTGCAGCCCCTTCTCTGTGATAATTCTGTTAGTATAATCAGGGTGGGACACTTATATTTGCATCATGGGGCATTGAAAGGTTCCAGCAAGCTCTTAAGGAGAGCCCACTTTCAGTATTTTCCATATCTTGTGATTTATTTTCATTTGGTTTTGAGATTGTTAACCACAGCAGGCAGGAAAAGCCTAACTTTTTAAAATCAGATCTTAAGTCACTTGCCTGATAACATGAGCTTACCAAAATGTTGAAAGCACCTTGATCTGGCTTCAAGAACAGGCTCAAAAGCCAAATAGCTGTTAGTTGTTGGGTTTCGGTTGCTATTTGGGTAGTTACTAATAGTGCATTTTAAAAGAAATGTCAGTTTAATGTTTATATAGAAATGAAAAAAATGAGTTTCTGATATTTGGGGAAGAACTTCTAAACCCTTGAGTGTTGTAACCTCATGTATGGTTTTCGTGCTAACTTGCACAAAATCAGAATTTTACTTTTTACTTTACTCTTTTAAGCATATAGCCATAGTTTCTGTAGTGACTTAACTAGTTCAGATAGGTTGATTTGAACATTAGGACTACAGTAACCAGTTACATTCAAGTTGCTGCCAACTGTTCAGCTGTTGAATGACCTTTAACTAAATTGGATATGTTGTGGTATATTTTATTACATGCTTTTTGACTTTCTAAGTATTAAAAAAGCTTTTGTTCTTGGTTCTTCTGTGTTCTTTGCAAATTTTACAAACCACCTGTCACAATTATTGCTTGACTTTATACAGGCACTTTCGGAGAGTCCTCTTGCAGTCTTTGGGAAAAGATCTCCATGAGGAGCTTAAGTATATTACAGCTATTATTGAAGATCAGCCAAAGAACTACCAAGTCTGGTAAAGCCACCTTTTCACTTCTTTATGTTTCTGCAGATTTTTGTTCCCCGTATCTACACTATGTTGCAACTGTTGATCCTAAAAGTGAATCCTCCTTCCTTCTACGACCATGCACAGGAGTTCAGTGGAATTTGTTCCATTTAGCCAGCAGTTTGTTTCATGTACCAGCAATTTGTTCCGAATTTGTTCTAAATGTATGAATATGACATGCCAAAATGGTCTTGTTTTATTTTAACTTTGGTACTGTCAGGTTCTGACAATTTAAAGTGAAATAGCAAACTGAATGGCAAGTGAGGAGATTTTCTTTATTGGCGCTTACAGTTTGCTTACCTGTAGCTTGTCCCAAATGAATGTGAACTGGAGAACCCAGCAGTGTTCCCAATGCTAGAGATAATATATGGTATTACAAAATTTTATTCTGATGAGCACTTTGGCCTCATTGAATTTGAAAGTGGGATCTTAACAGCTCAGGTAAATGAACTTGTCAGAAATGAGATGTTTTACCAGTGTGTATGTTTCATAAGAATTTGTTGCGTTAGGTGTTTGTATTGTGTATTTTTCAAAACTTTCACTTGGAAAGTTTTGGGATATTTATTTGAAATATTTAAAAGATGTTTGGACTGTTCCAAAAGTAGCTTCCTCTGCTTGTTGTTAGGCATCACAGACGAGTACTGGTTGAATGGCTGCAGGATCCATCTCAAGAGCTTGAGTTTATAGCTGACATTCTTAACCAAGATGCTAAGAATTATCATGCCTGGCAGCACAGACAGTGGGTTATTCAGGTATCTAATCCATGGAACTATCTTTTTACTAAATGTCTTCCTCAACTTGTTAAATTTTGCTTCTTTAATACAACCTCAATGGATTGTATTAAAACAGAGCATTTTGATTTTTAAACTGCATGAAAAAAAAATGCCTTTCAGTGGATGGGAGGTCTTAGGTTTAAACTTACCTTCCAGCAATTTATGAAGATCTGTGGTTGGCCATTTGCTGTTATTTGTGCAAGTTTAATAGTTGGCTATTAACATTATTTGCATCATGTTGCTGGTGTACACTTAAAACTTTGGGCAGAGTTCTTTTAAAAAATTCTCTATATCTAAAGTGCAAAATGCTTAGGTTCGAGTAGAATGTTTTGGAAAGGAAAAATTCTCTGACTGTATCTTTCTGCCCTCCTTCCCTTTCTTCTAGGAGTTCAAGTTGTGGGATAATGAACTGGAATATGTAGACCAGCTTCTGAGGGAGGATGTGAGAAACAATTCTGTCTGGAACCAAAGGCACTTTGTAATTTTCAACACTACGGGCTATGATGATCCAGCAGTTCTAGACAGAGAAGTCCAGTAAGTAATGCTGTTCATTCCTGCATTCTGCATTACATGAGTAAAGGAATGCTTTCGCAGATGTTGATTCCCTTGAGCCTGCCCTAGTTTTACAGCAGCACTTGGGCACACTCTCATGGATGGTAAGTCAGGAGCCTGTGCAAAGGTGAGTATGTCCAGTACTGCCAGCGTTTCTACAGGCTGGGGCAAGCTAATCCTGTTTGGCTGTCTTCCTGTCATACTGTTTGCTCTGGAGACAAAACAACTAGCATTTTGCAGTCCACATCTTAAAAGTAAATCAGCCTGCATGAGAATAAGCAGTTCTTCCTGCTAGTATCTTATATCCTACCCAAAAGACTGAGCTAGAAAGTTTGGAAAGAGAAGCACTGTTTATCCTTCGCTAGTGTAAATGTGTTGGAACTGTGCCAAGTTGCTGGTTTATTTGTATAGTAGTTGCAATAATTGGATGAAAACCTGGGCAGAGCTTCTGGTAGGATGTATCACCTCTTATTAGGCATCTCACACAGCTAGAAAAAGAAACAAACTTTGAGAAATACGTTGTCAGTACAAAAATGACTGCCTAAGTGCTGGCTAGTTTTAAGGAAACACTGATTCGGAAACTATTGCAGAGAAACATGTTTGTAATTGAAGACAATCTGGGCTTTGAGGCATTTGTATTATTGCAGAGAGTGTTAAGAGAAATCTTGCCTGGCTTTCACATCTCAGGGCCCTGATCAGGGCTGGCAGGGCTACAAATATGAAATGATATTTGTAGGAGTAACAAAAACAAGGTACTGCAGTTTTTGAGTTATACTTTGCAAGAAAGAGAGCTTGGATAGACTTGCTTAAAAAGCAAATAAATAAAAGGTTGAATATATTGGTAATAGAAGATCCACCATAATCACTGCTGCTGATGGATGTCTTTACATACTGATGTAAGCTGGCCTTTTCCACCTGAATTGTGGCTTTGTGGCATGAAACGTGACAGGCAGCTGTTGTTGCTTTATATTTGGAGGTGGTTCCTCCCTGCTGTTTCTGTGTACTGGAACTGCTGCAGGAGGCAGTGTGAGGTTAGAGCTCAGGCTGTGCCTTTCTGTGGGTTTTACCAGGTGCAGGTGTTTGGATTCATAACAGAAGTTCTGCAAATAGGTACCTTGCAATAATAACAACATAAGCTGACACTGTGCTTTTATCACTCTAGCCCTTTCCAGTGCCTCCTTGTTCAACTTCACACTCACTGAGCTTCTTCAAGAGACAAGTTATTCCTTTGTTCTGCTATGCCATGAGAATGTGTCATGTTACTTCTTATTTTGGGGGAGAAGTTAACAAACTTGATTTTAAGGATTGATCATTATTGTACAAAATTCATCAAATGAAACCGATTTGGAGCAGTTCTCACACCTGGCCGATTGAAGCCTGCTGTTATGTGGCAGGACACTCCATCTAAGACCTCAGTGAGATGATTGACAAAGAGATTCTGGAATATAGACTAGACAGAGGCGCTTGGGAGAGAACAGGGCACATTCAGGTCGTTTCTAACTGAAATGTTGTGTTTGCATTCACATTTGTTATCTTTTTCTCACAGGTACACGCTCGAGATGATCAGAGCAGTACCACATAATGAGAGTGCTTGGAACTACTTGAAAGGGTGAGGCAACCTTGTGTGGGGGGCAAAGAGAGTATCTGTGGAAAGTACCTCGAAGTGCTGTGTCCCTTGTGTGCTGCCTTGTTGCTGTCTCTCAGTAGCTTTTCAGTTTTCTCATTCCATTGGGCAGGTAGAAACTTTTGTGGGGGTGATGTATTAACTTAATCTCTGCAGAACTTCCCACATACTTTCTAGCAGTGTAGTTCTTGTGGGAGGACTGTAAGTGTTTCTCATGCTTTGAAAACTTGATCCTGTAGTGTTAACTGGTTTTAGGAGTATGGAGCAGGAAGTAATGAGTGTGTTTTCAGTGTCATTTCTTAGCAGAAATTACACTTAGCAGCTGAGAGTAACTATACTGGCTTACTACAAATTGCAGCTGTGTTGTTGCTGCGTTGTATTTATTTTGCTTACTTTCTGTCTCACGTGTTTTTGCATCCCTTAATGTAAAAGTGATCTCCAAATAAGTCAGTCATAACCAAAATACAATTCTTAGCACCAATTTTACCAGCATTATTTTTCAAGCCTATTAACCTCTGTTCTAGGATTCTCCAGGATCGAGGTCTTTCAAAATACCCAAACCTATTAGAGCAACTGTTGGATTTACAGCCTAGCCACAGTTCACCCTATCTGATTGCGTTTCTTGTGGACATCTATGAAGATATGCTCGAAAATCAGTGTGATAACAAGGAAGAAACACTGAACAAGGCATTAGAGGTAGGTTTGGAGAGCTTGGGTTTTCTTTTCAGAGATAATGCCAGTTGCTTTCTTATTGTCAGATCCCATGGGATTAACAATTAACCTCTGCCATGTAAAGAAATTAAATACAGCTGTATAAAGTGCTGGACTTGAAAGACTGAATTGCTGTGGTCCTCTCTATCAAGTTATAAATACTAATGTGACAGTTACAAAATCATCACTGTAACTTTTCTTCCCCGATAGTAAAGTTTGTAATAATGCATAAATAAGAAGGGAAACATGTAGAGTTTCCACTACTGACATTTTGCTGCAAACTCACTTTCTTCTTTAGTGAATCTTGTCCTCAGAGTACCTGTATTTAAAAGAACCTCAAATTCCCTTTCCACTTCTTAGGTCTGGTTTAAAAAGCTGACTCTAGCTTAAAGGCAAGCTGAAAATCTGAGGGCATCAGTAAGGGATATCAGGCACCATTTCTTACAGAGCATAAATGACTTCTGAAACATTGCACTTTATGGTTCCTATTTAGAGAACTCCTTGCTGTATAGTGGCTTCCAAGAAACAATTCGTTCGCTTTTTTTTCAAGCCAAACCAGAAAGAATGATTAGCATCACACTACTTGCCCAGGGCCTGCTTGTTCCAAAAAATATATTTACCAAAAATTTTTCTTTTCTGTGTTTTGGGACTGTGTGAAATTACACCTCCCAGTTTCATGTCCTTTAAAGTTACTCCACCGAGTTTGGCTTCTGCAGATATTCAGGCCTCAAAGCTGCTACTGCCAAGTCCTTTTTACTAAACAAGACATAAATAATGAAAATTGACTACAGCATCTGTGGACAGTATTGATATGCTGTAAATTCAGTACATTGTGACCAGCAAGCAGTCTTGAGTTCTATATTTGACTTCAGCACCTGCAGAAATATCTATATAGTAGCAGCTCTAACAAATTGTGAGAGTTAGACCTAAGCTTTGAAAATATTTTGGAAGGCCCGTGAGGAAGCAGCTCCAATCACTGTATTTGGAGTGCTGGAAACAAAATAACAGCTTGTCTGACCCTTTGTTTTAGACTATGTAGTTGACTAGGAAACAGGTTTGTCCAGGGGTGACCAGCTTGCCCCGTGGGTGCATCCTGCCCCACAGTTGGATCTTGTGGCAGGTTGCTGATGTTTGGTGATACTAATGGCATCTAAGAATGTTCTTTCTCAGGGTGCGCATCATTCCATGGCATGGGCACTGCTGTTCCAGTTACAGTCAGATCTAGTGGCCCCAAGCAAATCCTGTCTTGATTTACCCGTTTTCCAGTTTCCATTCTTTGATATTGACTTACTATTCAGTTGGTTTCACTTGACTACTATTGGCTGATTAGCCTGTGAATAAAATATATTTTGTTGGTACAAAAGGAATTTCTAAGGCTGCCTGACCCATGTATTTTATGAAGATAATTAAGGATTGCATAATTTTCATATAACACTTGTCACTGTCTCAATTCCTTCTCAGCTGTGTGAAATCCTGGCTAAAGAAAAGGACACCATCCGAAAGGAATACTGGAGGTATATTGGAAGATCCCTCAAGAACAGACACAGCTCGGGCACTGAACAGAGCTTGCCAACAGAGAAGCAGCAGTAACCAAATGTGGAAGAAAACAGTGTTAAGCTCTCAAGCTGTCCTAAAGGAATACCAAGGAGGGGGCCATCAGCCTGTATGAAATGCTGTGTAGTTTTCCCTGATCATGAGGTATTGTAACAAAAAGTGGAGTGCTGCAGCCATAATGAAGAAGGCAGACATAGTCTCTTGAGTCACTGCTGCCTCTGTTGATGGCTGTTGGTGAAAAGTACCAAATAAAAGACTTATTTCATAGTAAATAATTTAGCAAGTTTAACTTTATGTATTTATTGAAACGTACTAAACCAGTTTCTCGCACTCTGGCTTGTCTGTTTCGGGGCCATCTCTCCCTAACACTGTCATGTCAGGCTCTGCAGTGATGACTGCAAGTAGCTCTATTGGATATAAAGTAACCTTGTTCCCATGACTGCAAGTGGGAGCTGTTGCCGTGTGTGGGAACAGCTCCGCAGCACTGACAACACATGTTATTGTATGAACTAACAGCTACTGTCAATTTGTAATAAAAACAGATGACGTTAAAACATTTCGGATCCATATTTTGTGTGTTGCTGTTTTTTGTTTCTTTGTTTTCTAGACATGTGTATGCTCCGTGTATGTTAGTCCTTTTAAGGGTTTTAGAGCTTCTTGCATTAATACATATTTTGCCGTGATGTGTTCTGATCGCAGACCCTTTAAGTGTTCTACGTAGAGGAACTGGCCTTGCACAGTTGGGAAGAATGCTTTGAACGTCTAGCAAAATCTGCTGAGATTCTTGGCATCCTGTTCAGCCAATTGAATAGTGTCAGGGAGTTTCTTCACCTTTTGTGTATGTATTTATAAGCAGACAAAACAGAAATAATCAACTAAACATACTGTAACTGGTTTTATTACATTATGCTCCCTAAACTGCAAGGGAAGGAAGGGGGTTGTGGGGTATCTTTCTGCAATAGATGCCTCAGTGTCAATGTTCCTGTGGGATTTGATTCCTTCCCTATGCATATATTCAGCTGAGAAGTTGTGTGGGTTTGTTTTTGTTTTTTTTTTCCTAGCAACTGAAATTTTCCCTTCACTGCAGAACTGCTCAGTAAGTGCACACCTGCAAAGAAGGCTGCTGCATCTGACTTGTTTTCAGTAAACAGCTATTACAAACCATATTCTTAGTGTAGAGTGCTCGTCTAATATGATATACTTTTGAACGTGGAGGGAAAAAATGAGTAATAGTATTTACACCATAAATGAAATACCTAATACCAACCATTAGAAGCTGAAGTCACCATGCTGCTGATAATCTTCTGAAAATTAAAGCAGGCTTAGTCAATGCGTTCTTTAAAACAGCACTTGGGGAGCAGAACTGATAAATAAAAGCCCTAAATTTTTTTTTGAAATTTCCTAGCAGTAGAGAAAGCATTTTTAAAGTGATTGATGAAAACTTAAAATGGACATGAACTTCAAGCTTCTGGAGAGAATTTTACTCGCTGTTTTTTTTTTGTTCTGTATTTGAAGTTCCAGTTGAGAACCCTCTAAAAATGTTCCTATGCAGTTAAATGGTTTCTAATTGGAAGTACACTAAAATTTGAAAAGCTCTGCCTCAGTTTTGTGACAGCTGAGATACATTGAGCCATCAAAACTGAAAATGACAGGCTGCCTTACTACAGCTTGCAACTGTAGCTACCCAGCTTTTAATTTTAAAAATGGCTCTGAGGCAGAACTGATGGAATTAAAAACCTCTCATCTGAGGCAAAATGAGTAATGAACAGCCAAACCTTACAGTAGGAAGCAGTGCATTACCTTAACCTACCGGTATTGCTAGTGATGCTACCTCCTACGATTGGGTGACACATGCAGCTCATCTGTTGTCAGGTCTCATCTGTATAAGAAAAAATACTGCTGTTACTGACTGCATGTGCTGATACAACTACCACGTACAACTTTATTACAGCCACATCTGTAATAAAAATCCTCAAGTATAAATGGAAACTGTACTGGTACAACTGTCCCATGTGTGTGTAATTGCATCCGAGAATGGAGTATGGAGAATTGTTGAAGTACGTGAAGTAATTTCCTGTGCCTGCTTTCACTGGAGGGTTTTTAGTGTCTTTGCTTAGTGTCTCTCAAAGCTGTTACTGACTCCCACCACTGACTCCCATCTCTGCGATTTGGCTGACAAAAGTGTGAGTCCTTTTCTGTCCAGAGCAAAACCACCTCGGCACAAAACGCTCAGACAAGTACGAGCATGCTGTCGTGCCGCACCTTTGGTGTGGCAGCAGGAACCTCCAGCAAGGAAAACTTTTCAATTAATTACCCTAGCCCCAGGAAACACTTCCTTCCATGTGATAGCAGCCAATTCATACAGTGCAGAGGTGATAAGGGACTCACAGAGAGCTCATATGCCTCAGCAAGAGCACAAAACACCTCAGAGCTTTCAGGGCTTTGTTTGTTTGTTTTTAATACATGAATATATGAGCAACATGCAGTGTTGGGCTCGCCCAAGGGGCTCATGAACACTGGTGGACTTACCTACAGGCAAGCTCAAAACAGGCACTGGAAACACCACAGTAGTGGTTTTTCTACCTTGTGTTCATGCCTGGAATGTTTCTTCATTAAAACCTGGAGCCGCATGTCTCAAATGTTATCCCAGATAATATCTAACATTACTGATCACAATATTGGTACCGTAAAAAATGTTGTCCATTCCGGCCCTTACCGTTTTCCCAACACCAGTGCCTCCGGCAGGCTGTTGTTATTGTGGGATGATGCGCGTGCATCACAGTTCCCCTTCTAAGCCTCTGTATTTAATTCGTGGTCACCTCTGTGGCTTCTGGATTGACAGCAAGTTTCCATAGCACAACTTTGTGCTTCAGGTAGGTTTATTTGGAAAACTTGAGTAATATGATATTTGGCTTATTTGGGGCAAAACTATTAATTAGGCTGTACACTATTTCACTTCTAGTCCACAGGTGACCAAACTGCTGCAGTATATATTTTTTTTTCATGTAAATAACAATCTCTTCTAAGTGTCTCAAAATGAAATTACTTTCTTTGTCCTTAAGGAGCTAATGTGAGACTTTTGATACAATATATTCTAACAGTAACAGGTAGGAAAATGGTATTTGAATTTAACAGCAACATGATTTTTGCCCTTTTCAGGTTCTTTCCAGAACCTGACAGCCTGGGCTGGCCTCTTTAATTCTGTCTTACGATTAGCACTGCCATTTCAAAATACTCAGCACATGAACAGCACATGAAATCTCTAAAGTGAATGGTAAAATTTGTCTCTGTAAGTCATTATCTATTCAAGGGTTCAAAAGGAGCAATCTGTCCCTGCTACAAATCACAGATTCATCTCCACTCTTTTTCTCTTCCCCCCCTTTTATCTTATCTAATGCACCACTTGATTTAAGAGCATACAACCTTCAGTCACAAGAAATCTTGGAAGATAGGAGCCTAACTCTACACCTGAAGTGATGCTCTTGACACTGTTGAGAGAGAATAATTTCTCTGAATCTGGGACCTACTTCTACCTGTTTAGAAAAGAATACCTTGCCTTCTGTTGCTAGAATAGACCCTGAATTGAAAAAAAAAAATATATATATATATATATATATAAGTTTACACAATAGTATATAAAAAAGCATAAAGATTCATGTAGAAACCTCACCTCAGTATGTTTCTGTGAACAATCCAAGGTAAGCTCCTTGAGGCTAAGGCTGTGTGCTTCACTATAGATTTCAATTACATCATTGTTAGGTCACTCTCAATTATCTTTGAAAAGTCAGGGCAAACAGGAGAGGTGCTTGAGAGCTGAAGAAAAAGGAAAAAAAGAAAAGCCAATTTCACTCCAGTTTTCAAAAAAAAAAGGGCAAGAAGAAGGACTCAGGGATCTACAGGACAATTAACCTCCTTCATCCCTGGAAACAGCTCATCCTGGATAGCATTTCCAAGCAGATGAAGGGCAAGAAGATGATGAGGAGAGATCCCCCTCCTCTACGTAGCCCCAGAGAGGTCACATCTGGAGTCCTGTGTTCAGGCCTGAGCTCCCTGTGCAAGAGGGACATGGAGCTCCCGGAGGAAGCAGGGGACTGGTAGGATGGGGAAGGGACTGGAGCATGTCTCTGCGAGGAGAGGCTGAGAGAGCTGGGACTGTTCAGCGTGGAGGACACTGAAGCAAGATCTTATCAATGTGTTTAAGAGCGGACGTAACGAGGATCCAGCCTCTTCTCAATGATGTCCACTGATAGGATGAGAAGCAAAGGGCACACACTGAAAAACTCCCAACCTCAACTCTTCCGTGATGGAGCTCTGGGATACTTCCTCCATAACCGGTCCCAAAGAAGCCATGGGATATGTAGGATATGTGGTACTTTTTGGGGGAAAGGGGTTGATAACCACTAGATGGCACTGTGAAATTCACCCTGGGTTCATCCAAGCTGCATGTGGCCCAGAAGTGTTGTTGGGGCTGCTCTTTCTCCATGCAAAACAACTTATTTCACCCCTGCTAAGAGCTGAAGAGCAGCTGCTTGGTGAGCCAGTACGTAGCCACGCAAGGGGCTCAAGCACAGGCCTCCTGACACGGTCTTATCACTGAAAACTGGTGCTGTTAATTGGAGGGTCTTAATAAACAGAAGTAATGTTTCTACCTCCAAAAGTGGAAACCTTGTATCATATTTACTAATATTTAAGTACCCGAGGGTAGAATGTAGGGGGGAAGGAGCCAAACTCTTCTCAGTGGTGGCCAGTGACAGGACAAGGGGCAGTGGGTACCAGTTGAAACCCAGGCAGTTCCATCTCCATGTGAGGAGGAATTTCTTGGCTGTGAGGGTGCCCGAGCCCTGGCACAGGCTGCCCAGGGAGGCTGTGGAGTCTCCTGCTCTGGAGATCTTCCCAACCCGCCTGGATGCCGCCCTGTGCCCCGTGCTCCGGGTGTCCCTGCTGGAGCAGGGGGCTGGACTGGATGAGCTCCAGAGGTCCCTTCCAACCTCAACCACTCTGTGATTCTGTGACTTGCACTCTGTTTGGTGTCCTGATGTTGTAAAGTAACTGAGTGACACGAGGACAATTCCTTGTACTTAGAGGGTAATCTGTGGGCTAAAAAGCTACCACATCAGCACTGTTCATGAGCAGGGATCTTTGCACTGTGAAGGTGTCTGATTGCACCCTGACTTCTCATCATTTTATTTTTGAATTGTTCTAAGTAAGTATGTTTTATTAAAACAGTTAAGTATTTGCATGGTTTCTCTGTACTGTTTGAGTCATCCCTCCAACAGATACCAGAAAAGCTGAATAAATGCCTGGGCTGCTCTCCAAAAGCTCTGGAAGCTAGAGAAGGAAAAGGAGATTGTTGCATGTCCCCTTTTCTCTGCCTTTTGGTCATAGCCTGTCACAGGACAAGAAGATGACAAATACTTTTTTTTTTTTTTTTTTTTTTTTTGGGTTTTCAAGGATGACAGCCATCGCTCCCCACTCTAGCTTCCATCCACACCACGGATGTGAGTTCTGCTCACCATTTACTCTCCAGAAGGCAATGACAGAGACTGCACTTCCA